TTTAGGGACTGAACCGTGTAACGGAACAGTTACACAATGACCTGGCTAGTGAAAGGACGCGGCGTTTATGAGCTACCTTACCTATTAAAGGATAATTACAATGCTTAGCGCACGACCGTTCAAACGATCGTGCCGCTTTTGCGTTTGCGCAACTGGAGAACAAACGTTCGATTCGTAATGTACGTGACGAGCTGACTGCAGCTCGTCAGGACATCGATCGACTGCGTGAGCAGGTTGCTTCGCAAGTCAACTAGACTGGCTCGTTGAAATGGGACAACTAGAAAGTGCTCTCGTCCCTTGATCTCGGAGGTGTTCTTCGTCTCTCGAAACGGGTTCTTACTGATAGTACGGGCGGAGACGTCCAACGTAAAACGTAGGATGCGTACGCATCCTACAAGGCAGTTCAATCGTGTATGCGTTGCCCATGCGGCGCAACACACGAAATGGACCGATATACTTGAGCGTTCGTTTACTGCTGCCCACGTTTGTCACTGCGTGTTTTGGTAGATGTACTGTGGAAAGTGAAACTAATTCACCCTCATTGAATGAAAGACCATTCTCTCTTCCATGTTTGTCTGCGTTTCTTTTCTGCTTTTCTATCGCATCTGCAATAGGGTCTTGAGGGAAGTGGACAGCCGCTTCGCGAGTCAGCAGAAATTTCTCTGCTGGCTCATCTTTGTTAGCAGCTGAGTGCTTTGTGCGCACTGCTAAAAGAACGTTGTCTTCATCAGTGAAGGAGTCATCGTCCTCACTGTGGCAGTCGTTGGCTAAGTTAAATATACCAGCATTTTCTTAATCATCATCATCGATGTCGATGTGATCGACATCGGCATCCATCACGTCGAAACCATTGTCGACGTTTGATGAGCAAGAACCCGATAGGCTATTGTTTAAGCAATTCCATCCCACGCCCACCTTAAACTAGATTCACACTCTGAGAAGGCAATTAAACGTGGTTGGCCCAGGCCATTCACGAAGAACGGTGTATGCGCTGTCGACGCACGCACCGAGTTGTTGATGCCGAACTCCGCCATCGGCAAGAACTAACTCCAGCTTGTAAACGAGTGGACATACCCTCGAAGTATCTCTTCAAGGATGCGGTTAACGCGTCCCGTCCAACTATCTGTTTTAGGATGGTCAGAAGTCGAATCCTTTGATCGTGTTCCAAGTTAACGGAACACGGATTGCCAGAAATCCGCTGTGAAGCGGAGTCTCTGTCAGAAACGAGTTCACGGGTAACACGTGAAGGCGGAATTTAGTATCGATGAAGACAAGAGCACAGCCCTGGGCTGTGATTTAATTCGATACAGCTACAATACGTACTATCTTGCTTAACCGACTAATATCCAAAAAGATAACCAGTATTCATGTGAGCGTTTTGGGAAACCCAAAGACAAAGTCCATCGATATGTACTGCCATCACCCTGCCGGAATCGGCATAGGCTGCAAGGGTGCGCAGGATGGAGGACTAGGCTTTACTCGTTGGCAACATTTGCAAGCGCGGATTTATTTGCGCACAAACTCAAACTGGCGGGGCCAGTAGTAGTCACGACTTACCGTGAGGTAAGCCTCTTCTTTACCACGATGCAAACTTTTTGGGGCATCATGACACTCATACATGATGCGCAATCGCAAATCATTAGGAGCCGGAACGACGACACGAGGTGTGTCGCCGTTGACTGCTGTGTAGTACAGCAGTCCGTCACGAACCGAATGCCGTTCGGTTGAGGAGCGGTATGAAGACTTCAAGCTTTCCAAGGCTTGACTTCGTAGGTTAGACGCTTTATCCAACAATCGCAGAAGATACTCATCTTCTGCGTATGCTTTCCACACGTCGTCGAGCAGATTCGACGACGGAACACTCACTGTTAGTGTCGCTACAGTGGGATCACCCCTACTGTTGAGTTGAGCAGTCGGCTCGAAATCGGGCCGACGCGAAAGAGCATCAGCGACGATATTAAGTCGTCGCTAATGCTTTACAATAGACGGAGAAGTTGTACTCCGCGAAGAAAGACAGCACCTCGCCATTCTTTGCGAGAGGTGTGGACTGTTAACGGCCGTGCGTAACGACGCATGGTTGGTATACATATCGAAGGGCCTACATTCTAAGAGATACACCCGAAACTTAGCCAGTGCATGTTTCATGGCAAGAAGTTCCTTGTCATGCACTGGGTAGTTGCGCTCAGCTGCTTGCAGCTGACAGTTGGCAACTGACGACACGCTCAACGCCGTCTGAGTCATTCTGCATGAGCGCGCAGCCAATTGAAACAATGTTGGCGTCACAGAACATGTGGAATGGTCTTTTATGATCTACAATCGCCAAGATGGGCGATCACATGAAGCTATTCCTAATGCATCTAAAGCAAATTCTGACAATCAACACTCCATGACCACTTTTCGTTCTTTTAAAAAAAGGAGAGAGACGAACGATCATCTCGACGTTTTTTAAGTTGCATGAGTAATTGTGTGATTACGCTGCTAAGCCAAGGAGCTTTCGAATTCCCGTGACGTCGACTGGCACAGGACAGCCGCTAATCGTCGTTATCTTTTCCGGATCAGGGCGTACGCCGTTTTTAACCACGATGCAGCCAGGAAGTGCTTTTTTTCGCTCGCTGTGAATCTGCACTTCTTGAGGCTCGCGAAAAACTTTTGCTCACGCATAAGTGTAAGAAACTTCCGAAAGTGGATTCTATGAACCTCCACGTCCGTCTTTCATCCATAGCCCGGCTGTGGACATAGACATCATCAAAGTAACTCGGTGCGAAATCGCGCACCGATCGCAACAGATTCGTAACACATATGTTTGACGTTGCGGGGGCGTTACTCAGCTCATGTGGCATCACTAGCCACATCACGAGCATACCACTGGGGGTGCTCACTGCTGTGTATGAGATGTCTCTCTGACGCATGAGGATCTGATGGAATCCATCCATCAGATCCGTTGACGATAAGATGGAACATTTTGCCATACCATTAATGATGACGTCCTTCCTTGGTATCGGCGTCTGAGCCGGTACCGTTGCAGTGTATAATTTGTTGAATACGTGCACTATCCGCCACCCTCCTGCGGCCCTTCGCACACAGAAGGTCGTAGAGCTGTGTGGGAATGTTAGTTCCCTCACATGACCAGCCGCTAAGCGATCGGCAAAAGAATTTGTCAATCGCTGTGACCTTCTCACGAGGCAGTGGCCACTACTTCATGACACAGTATTTCGAACCAGGTTTCAGTTCGATCTCATGCCGAGTGCCTTTATTCTGAGTCAACTCGCATGGCACGGATTCCGGGAAAACATCCCTGAATTCAACTAAATCCTTATACAAAGGATTTGTCTTCAATGACTCCCAAGATTGAGACGTGTATCGCTCAATCCGAGTCTTCTCATCGAGGACACTCTCTTCTATCGATGAGCTACTGAGAACCCGTTTGTCCTCAGTAAACACGTGTGCCGACCGAATATCGGCGACGTCCTCGTCCTCTGTGACGAGTACGCAGATCTGCTTGATCTTTTCACTACGCAGATCTCGCAAGAATCTTTTAGATTCTAGCGTTGGCAACTTGATTATTTCCGAAGCTGACTACGTAGTTGTAACTAGATCAAGTGTATGAGCGCCTACACTTGATCCGTCATTCACCAAGGCATTCACTGTCTCGGTGATTGCCTGGGATAACAAATCCGCAGGCGGCTGGGGATCCACACCTTCAACGTAACTCTCTCGGGATTTATCATTCTTAGGAACGCTGGAGCTATCATACCATACGTGTTATGACCGTAGGTGCACTACCACATTCATGTCCTCTTTGATCGACTCTCTTTTTGTCGATCAGGCTTGCTTTACGATCGACTCTTTGTTAGTCGATCTCACCTTAAGGTATTGCTCATTATGAACAACAATAATCTCTCATCTTGGATGCACCCTGCTTGGTGTGCATCTATGATCCAGTCCACTCGATCTCTTCGAGTTGTGAACCTTTGGCACATCGTGTGTTTTTAAACAGGTGCAGAAAGCTGGTTCCACAATGCAGTGGTCTTTTACACTGTAATCTTGTGCAATCTCACTAACGCCCGTACCACAAGTGAGGCCATCGCACTCACTCGTAGCACATCCACACGCTTGTGGACGCTCTAAGACGTTCTTCAAATGACCATCTGATAAAAAAGGCAACTGGCATCTTCACAAGTCGATTCTGCCAGCTCACCCTTGGCGCGTATTTATGAGTCATGGAAGACCGAGGATGACGTCGAATTTGACAACCAAATCTAGTACGATGAAGTCATCATCGTACTATTTTCCTTCTATCGTGTAGTGGATTCCCACTACACGTTTGTTAAATGTTACGGATGCGCCTGTAGCAAGGCACACCGTCATCCGCGTTGGAGGGAACTCTCGCTCAGCAAATTTGAGCCTACTATCCTCTAGCGACTGCCGTCACATAAAACTGTTCGACGCCCCACAGCTAACTAGGACGCGAAGTGAAATTCCACTCGCTACCTCGATCTTCAAAAGGGTGAGGGACTCCTCATCAGTAACACACCGAGACTGTGTGTTGGGAGCAATCTTCGTCAAGAGTCCTGCAAATTATTTTGACGTTTCTGGATCAGCAGGGTGCCCCGCCCCTACTGACCCTGTCCGTTTTTTGGGGGTCCGACTTGCTGTCGCTACGTAGCGACATGGTCGGACCTGCGCCTTGGACCTTTCTTTGGCCAACGGCGGTCATCACGTCCTGTATTTGGACGTGATGCGGTGCTCGGGACACTACACTCATGAGCATAGTGCCCAATCATCTGACAGCGATGGGATCTTGCCGATCGCTTGTGACTCAGAGAGCGAGAGTTCTCGCTCTCGATGTAACAGAGGTCCATTGGTTCGGGACCTCCTGTTTCCTGTCGTCTCATCGGACGATAGTCGGACGAGTTAGCCTGAGATTGTCTCAGGCTGAAGTCTTCTTGTTCCGCATACGCTATCGCCCTTTCCAGTGTATGGAAGTCATCTCGGAAAATTTAGGTCTTCACCGACCCATCTAAAAGACCGTAGATGAAGCCGTTAGTGAGCGTGTGCTCATCAACAGGGTATTCCGTGACGCTGCTCGCAAGGTAGCGTAGGTGTTGTGCGTAAGCGTGCACATCACGCTTACCTTCTTTGAGCCTCAGGAGTGCAGAGCGTGTCCTGAACTCGGCTCGTGGCGGCTCAAACGATTCTTCAAGACGAGACTTCAAGATCTTCAACGACTCAAACACGTTTGGGTCGTGAAGCTTGAGCCCTAAGACCCAAGTCTTTGCTCGTCCTGTCAAATTTGACAGAGTGAAGGCGACTTGCATCTTGTCAATCTCAATGTGACGGGCCCTAATGGCGTCGTCTAACTCGACAAACCATCTCAAGAGGAAACCTTCATAGGTTCCCTTGTACATAAGGATATCAATCTTGAAGGTTTCGGGTCGGCGCATGTGCGCCAGCCCGCCCGTCGACTGATGAGAGCCTTGCTGTCGCAGCAAGGCTATCTTCTGTCTTTCGACAGCAAGTTTCCCCCCTTGTAGGAATTTTTGATAGTATCGTGTTGTTGGTCTCTGTTTAGAGACGCCAACATGCCACTGATGGCGGGTTCGCCCATGAGCACACTCACGTGACCGACTATCTCCCATTCTGAGTCACTCAGATGGGAGTAGCCTTCACGTGTGACGTGAAAGCTGTCGTCTTCTAGTCTAACATGTTCAAGTTGAACGGGAAATAAGTAGTCGTTGAACGGACTATGAAGTGCTACCAGGTGTAACGGGCACCCTTAGTTTGGAGTGCCACGAAACTTCACGTACACTAGTACGTGCAGAGGAAGCTAATCTACTTAAATTGCTATTTAAAGTAAAGGTTAAAAGGCAACTGTATTGTTTTCAGCTTAGCTATCAATCAAACTTCATTATTTAACCAACTAAAGTAATCTACGTCGTTGTAACGGGGCACCCTGAAGCTTGTACTGGTGACAGTACAAGCTACTTATTCTGATGACAGAATAAGGCGGTGCCTCGTAACTTCACGTACACTCGTAGGTGCAGAGGAAGACGGTAAGGAGAAGCGAGTACTTGGTTAAAGTAAAAAGGTAGAACTGTACTTATAATAGTTAATGTCTGTTAATAAATCACTATTTATCTTCATCTAACTATGTCTGAATACAAATGTGCATATCAACTATCTGCTCACCACTCATTGCGTGCGTCTGTCGTGGCGCGTCTTCGTTGGTTGATATAATGGCCTGTATCAACCAATTAGGAACTACTCGTAAGTGCAACAGAACATTTGTCCTTATGACAATATTCTGAGAAAATAACTCTTATAGTTCTATTCTTATAACAATTTCTTAAATTGTTATGTAACGATTCACCCCGTTACACCACCACCCCCTTAACCATCAGTCACTTTAGTGACTGATTGACTAAATGGATACTCGTCCCAAATCAGTTGGGACGGGGTTTGCACTTGTCGGTCCGAGTCCACTTCCCAACATTTCATCGCATGGTTAACAAGCCCATGCGATGCGCGAGCAAGGCCGCCGAGAGCGCGTCCGCACGTCTCTGTGCGGACGCCGAAGCAGAAACCACAGCAACTGATGTCTTATCGGTTGCTGAAGCGACTCAGCCTGTGTCACCTGGTGATGCAGGCGCTGGTCATGAAGACACTCATGTCTTCACAGAGTCTGAGCTCGGTGTCTCATACTCTCCTGATACGGATGACGGATCCGTATCGACGGCGATCGAATCCATGCCGCCTGCCAAGCGTGGCATGGATGATGCTATGCGTCGTAGCATATTTGGTTCATCTGATTCATCAGATGAACCATCGCCGAAGCGAAGGCGCTCGAGGTCGCGAGACTCGGGCGCTAGCAGTGGTGTCGGTTCTCCTATGGACACCACTTCACAGCGAGGTGCCAGTACTTCTGTCGGCACGTCGCTGGAAGAGCGGGACCGCAATGTGTTGCGTCTCGCTCCTGAAAAGAAGGCATGGATGCCTCCAAAATCCGTCATGGATCACTTGTCAGCGACGACGAGTGATCGTTATCGAACACGGTTGTTCGATTAGTCAAGGATCCATCACCTTGACCCCAGCGCGAAAAACTATCGCGCTGAACACGATTTCTTCATCGATGCTTTCTTCAAACATCGATGGTACAGTGGGAATCACAAGCGTGATGGTCTCTTACTGCTTCAAGCGTGGAACGCCTACATCCATAACCTCGAGGATGTAGGTCGTGACGCTTGGAACGACAAACTTATCAAAGCTCGTGATAAGTTTGAAAAGCGAACCCCGACAGGTGCACGCTACAAGCTGCATCGTCTGTCAAGGGAGAAAGGATTACCCTAGCTCTCTTGGGGAGACTCGTGCCCATGTTGTGTGAACAACTCTGCACGAGCACCTAAGGAGGCTTACCTCCTTACTAGCCCTTGGTGGCGCGTACGTATCTCTACTGAGATGTACGAAGGGATTGACAACCTGAAATCCCTTTACGACCGTGCCGGGAACACTTTCGTAGGCGGTCCTTCTGCGTCACAGGATGTGCCGCGTCGTACTGCTCAACCAGACCCAGTACGTCAATCATCAGTTGGTAGCGGGGCTCCCAAGTATGCCAGGACGGGGGATAACCGCGCCACCGGACGAGGTAGCTCGTCCGACGTCCGTTCACGTCGCGGTGGTTCAACAGCTGCTCAACCAGATATCGCTGGCCACCGCGAGAGTCCTCTAATGGAGGTGGTGGAGGAGGAAAGTCGCTCTCCACACGATCATGTGGATCAGTGTGTTCCCGAGAGCTTCTTTGATCGCGTAACGCAAGGGCTACGCAACGATCTCGAACATGAGCGGAATAGGCGTCTCCAAATGGCGGATACTGCCTCGAAGCATCGAGCTGATTTTGCCTTTGCTCAGCTTGAGAACGAGAGATCTCTGACATCTCTTCGTGACTAGCTAAGGGTAGCTCGTGGGATTGTTGATCGGTCTCGGGATGAGATAGCTGCTCTTCAGACCCTTGTTGATGCCCACCATCGGGAGCACAAGGCTCTCTGCGAGATGATTGAGCGCAAGGGCGTTCTTCATCGGAAGAAGCAGCGTACTGATGGTACGGCTTAAGCCGACCAACGTAAAACGTGGGATGCGTTCGCATCTTACGTGGTAACTCGATAGTGTATGCATTGCCTAGGCGGTGCAATACACGAAATGGGCCGATGTACTTGGGTACAAGTTAGTCACTACATGCTTTGGTAGATTAACCGTAGACAGTAGGACTAAGTCACCTTTATTAAATAAAAGAGTGTTTGCCCTTCCATTCTTGTCAGTGTTTTGCTTTTCCTTATCCACCGCTTCGGCGATGGAGTCTTGCACAAAACGGACTACCGTTTCACGAGCCAGTATGAACTCATCTGATGACTCGTTAGCTCCAGTGCGCTGTGAGCGCACTGCAGCAACATCAACCTTTTCTTCAGTGAGGGCTTCCGCACTCTCACTGGCATCATCTTCTTCGATATCGATGTTATCGATATCGGCATCAAACGCAATGACCTCATCGTCAGAGCGTGATGAGCGTGAACCAAATCGGTTTTTGCTCGCGCGAGTCTCTCCCCCCTTAAATCAGAGTTAAACTCAAGTAAGGTTGGTACAAGCGGATGGCGCAAGCCATTCAAGTAAACGGTGTATGTGTCGTGGACGCATGCACCGAGTTGTTAATGGCAAACTCTACCATTGGCAATAACTCACTCCATCTCTTAAAGGAGTGTATGTATCCTCGAAGTATCTCTTCAAGGACACGATTGGCACGTTCCGTCTGACCATCTGACTCTGGATGATCAGATGTCGACATCTTCAAGCGCGTTCCGAGTGATTTGAACACGGAACGCCAGAAATCAGCAGTGAATCGTGGATCTCTGTCTGATACGAGTTCACGGGGCAACCCATGAAGTCGGAAGATGGTGTCAATAAAGACACAAGCACAGCCACTTGCCGTGATTGTCTCTGGTACAGCCACAAGGTGTACCATTTTGCTGAATCTGTCAACAAATACGAGAATACCCGTATTCCCGCGTGCGCCTTTGGGTAACTCGAAGACAAAATCCATTGAGATGGATTCCCAGCACTCAGCCGGAACCGGTAGAGGCTGTAAAGGTGCACGCAGTGAAGGACTTGACTTCACTCGTTGGCAGACTTCGCATGCGCGAACATACTTTCGCACAAACTGATACTGGCGGGGCCAGTAAAAGTCTCGACTCACCGTGAGATATGTTTTCTCCCGCCACGATGTCCTCCTATAGGAGCATCGTGATACTCGAACATGATCCGCAAACGCAGATCAGTATCATCTGGAATGACAACACGTGATGTGTCACCAGAAACGGCTGTATAATACAGTAAACCGTTACGAGTAGTGTATCGATCTGATGCAGGTCGATACGCAGGCGACAATCGTTTCAACGATTCTTAAGATGGTTGTGAGAGATGTGTCAACAACTTCACAATCTCACCATCGTGGGCGTATGCCTGCCTCACATCATCATACAACGTTGTAGATAGGACTGAGGACGTCACAACCGCAACAGTGACTGTCTCACTGTTGGGTTTCACGACTGGTTCAAAGTCGGGACGACATGAGAGTGCATCAGCGACGACAATAAGTCGTCCTGGTTTGTACTCGACCGTAAAGTTTATTCTGCAAAGAATGACAACCACCGCGCCATTCGTTGTGAAAGGTGCGGGCTGTTCACTGCCGTGCGTAATGACGCATGATCAGTGTAAACAATGAAGGGTCTGTCTCCTAATAGATAGACTCTGAACTTCGCGAGTGCATACTTCATGGCAAGGAGTTCATTGTCATGCACTGGATAGTTCCGCTCAGCTGATTGCAGCTGACGCGACTGATAGCAGACGACGCGTCAACGCCTTCAAGATCGTACTGCATTAATGCACAGCCAATTGCGAAATCGCTGGCATCACAGACCACATGAAATGGCCTGTCCTGATCGGCTATTGCTAGGACTGGGGGTTGTATCAAGCTCTGCTTGATACCCTCAAAGGAGCGTTGACATTCAGCGTTCCACAACTACCTCTTGCTTTTTCAACAAACGAGAGAGGGGCACTGTCATTTCGGCGTAATTGCGTGAATACTTATGCAAATACGCCGCTAGCCCAAGGAATTTTCGAAGACCTTTGACACCAACCGGCACAGGCCAGTCGGTGATCGCCTTGATCTTTTCGGGATCAGGACGTACACCGTTCTTACCAACGATGCACCCAAGAAGTGGTATTTCGCTTGCTGCAAATATACACTTCTTGAGGTTTGCAGACAATTGATGCTTTCGCATGATTGTAAGAACCTGTCGGACATGGTACCTGTGAACCTCAACGTCCGACTTTCCATCCATAGCTCGACTATGGATGAATACGTCATCGAAATAGCTCGGTGCGAATTCTCGTACTGGTCTCAACAGATGTGATACACATCTGTTGAACGTGGCAGGGGCATTACTAAGCCCTTGTGGCATTACTAGCCATTCCCAGAGCATGCCGCTAGGCGTGCTAGCTGCGGTGTAGGGTATATCCTGTTCCCGCATAAGGATTTGATAGAAGCCATCCATCAAATCCATGGACGAAAAGATGGTACTCTTTGACATACCATCAATGATTACGTCCTTCCTCGGTATCGGCGTCTGAGCCGGTACCGTTGCAGCATTCGACTTGTTAAATGCATGCACTATCCGCCACCCTCCTGTTGCTTTTCGCACACAGAAGGTCGGAGAGCTATGTGATGAAGTTGATTTCCTCACATGGCCCGCAGCTAAACGATCGGCAAAGAACTTGTCGATCGCAAGTACTTGTTCACGAGGCAGTGGCCACTGCTTCATGACACAGTACTTTGAGCCTGCTTTAAGCTCGACCTCGTGTCGAATACCTTTATCCTTCGGTAATTCGCACGGAACAGTTTCAGGGAATACATCCTTGAATTCAACCAAATCTTCATAGAGAGGATTTTTCTTGAGCGATTCCCATGATTGGGAGTCATATCGCTCAACTCGTGTCTTTTCATAGAGGACACTCTCGTCCATAGATGAACTACTGAGAACTCTCTCGTTCTCAGTGAACACTGTTGCTGACCTTATGTCGGTTACACACTCGTCGTCAGCGACGAGTATGCAGATCTGCTTGACTTTGCCACTACGCAGATCACGCAAGAACCTTTTATGTTCGAGCGTTGGCAACTGAGTGATCTCCGAAGTCAACTTCGGAGGCGCAATCAGATCAAGTGTATAAGCGCCTACACTTGATCCGTTATTGACTATGACATTCAATGTCTCTGTCATTTCCTGGGGACTTATTCCCTCAGGCCTCGAAGGACTTATTCCTTCGGCTTCCCGGGGACTTATTCCCGCGGGTTTCGGGGAACTTATTTCCGCCGTATTTGTAATCTTGGGACTTATTCCCTTTACTTCCTCTAGCTGGGCTTGCGCAACCACAGCGAGATCCTCTACGAAGACTCTCCAGTCGATCTAGGATTATCTTTTCTCTTAACCTGAGCGATCGATTGTTTCTCTTCTAGATGTTCCCCGCTAGGGACACATCTTTGTCCCAGTCCACCCGACTTATTCGAGTGGTGGACCTTCGGCGCAGCCTGTGTTTCCTCACAGCCGCCGGAACTTTGCTCCGAAGTGTAACCATTTGGTACACTAAGGTTTTGTGCAGTCGTACTAACGATCTTACCACAAGTGAGGCCATCACACTCACTCGTAGTACATCCACACGCTTGTGGACGCTCCAAAACGTTTATCAGATGGCCATCTGATGAACAAGCGGCAGGCATCGTTACTGTTCGATGTTGCCAGTTTACCCGTGGTTCGTACCTTCTGAGCCACGGTATTCCAAGGATGACATCAAATTTGTCATCCAAATCCAATACGATAAAGTCATCGTCATATTGGGTATCTTCTAGCGTATAGTGGATCTTCACTATACGCTTCATGACGGTTACGGATGTGCCTGTCGCAAGACGTACCGTCATCAACGTAGGAGGTGTGTCACATTCACTGAATTTAAAGTGACCATCTTCTAGCGATTGGCGTCGCACAAAATTGTTGGACGCTTCACTATCGACTAGAGCTTGAAAGGGCAACTTATTCGTCACTCGAGTTTCAAGGTAATAAGTGAGATGTCATTACCTAGAGCAGCAATGCACAACGTTTGTGTGTTGGGAGCAACCTTCATCAAGAGGCCTACAAATTCTCTTGACGTTGCTGGACCAATAGGGTGCTCCGCACCTACTGATCCTGTCCGTTTTTGGCGGTCCAACCCGTTGTTGCGTCTTTGCACCAACAGCGGACCCTCGTCCCTGCCCCTATCGCATGGGTGGACGGTCACTACGCCCAGTGTCGCAAGACACTGGACGAGGGACACTACACTCGTAAGCGTAGTGTCCTGTGTTTTGACATCTGTTGCATCTCTGCAACTTCTTGTAGCCTGTAGAGCGAGCCTTCTCGCTCTCTACATAACAGAGTTCCATCGGCTCTGGACCTCCGTTGTCATATCGTCTCGGTTGACGATATGATGTCGAGCTGGCGCGAGCCTGTCTCAGACTGAAGTCTTCCTGATCCGCAATGGAAATGGCTTGTTCTAGTGAATCTAGTTCAAGCCGGAACAGGTGAGTCTTGACGGGACCATCCGCAAGACCCTACATGAACACCGAAACCAACGTGTGTTCATCCACCGGATTGGAACTTATACAACTCGTAAGATGTCGTATATGTTGCGCGTAAGCGTGCACATCACGCTTACCTTGTCTGAGCTTCAAGAGTTCGGTTCGAGCTCTGAACTCAGCTCTAGGCGGTTCAAACGTTTGTCTGAGCCGCGACTTGAAGACTTCCAACGACCTAAACGCATATGGGTCGTGCAACTTGAGCCCCAGTGCCCAAGTCTTGGCACGTCCTGCCAGATTTGACTGGGCAAATGCAACTTGCATATCCCCGTCGTCGATGCGACGCGCCCTTATGGCGTCATCCAATTCGACGAACCATCTCAAGAGGGAGTCCTCTTCGACTCCCCTATACTTGGAGATGTCAATCTTCAAGGTTTCGGGTCGACGCGAGTACATCGAACCACCAGCAGCAGCCTGCTGCTGTCTCAACAGTTCGAACTGTTGAGCACCCTGTTCTCTCAACAACTCTGCTTGTTGAGAACCTTGTTGGTGAAGCAAGGCTACTTTCTCGCGTTCTGCGTCAAGTTCATTTTGAATGAACTTGGCGATAGTAGCATGTTGGGCATCTCTATTGAGAGCCTCTAGCATGACGCTAACAGCATGGATGCCCATGATCGAACCCATTCGTTCAACCGCATCCCATTCTACATCGCTCGAATGGGAGTAGCCGTCACGCGTAGCGTGAAATCTTTGGTCATCTTCATCATCTAACATATTCATGTTAGATGTGAACGTGGTCCTTGGACGGACTACGAAGTGCTACCAGGTGTAACGGGGTACCCTGAAGCTTGTACTGGTGACAGTACAAGCTACTTATTCTGATGACAGAATAAGGCGGTGCCTCGTAACTTCACGTACACTCGTAGGTGCAGAGGAAGACGGTAAGGAGAAGCGAGTACTTGGTTAAAGTAAAAAGGTAGAACTGTACTTATAATAGTTAATGTCTGTTAATAAATCACTATTTATCTTCATCTAACTATGTCTGAATACAAGTATTCATATCAACTATCTGCTCACCACTCATTGCGTGCGTCTGTCGTGGCGCGTCTTCGTTGGTTGATATAATGGCCTACATCAACCAATTAGGAACTACTCGTAAGTGCAACAGAACATTTGTCCTTATGACAATATTCTGAGAAAATAACTCTTATAGTTCTATTTTATTAACAATTTCTTAAATTGTTATGTAACGGTTCACCCCGTTACAGTCGTCGTACGACGACAACCTGCTCGCCACTCATTACGCTCGTCTAGCAGCGATTGGCCGTTATCGTGGTTAACATGTCTTTTATCAACCGATCTTTGAACAGCGCATAAATATTATCCTAAAAGGGGATATATTCCTTTGTTATTACCTATTCCGGGTATGTCGGCAGGGAATTGTCACTCTAGGCAATCTCCCCATTGACACCGCTTAATATCAATATCATGCAATGGCCTATCCCGTTATAATGCCGCTACCGTCGAGTTTAAAAGAGTTTTGCTGACATGAGTCTGCAATCGTCAGCACCGATTTATATCGAGTGGTAAGGCATCCAGCTCTGCCCTTGTTGTAGCAGGCTAGCACTTATCAGATAGAGAAATATGTCACCATTTAACAATTATTATCATCTGTTGATACCCTCAGCGCAAAGTGCGAATGCAGATATGATCGTTTCGAAATATATGCATGTAAATATAAAATGAACTCGTCCTCGGTATCCTGCGTCCCATCCCGTCCTGCGCGGGATGGGACGCAGGACAGGCTAATCTCGCCCATTCCTTCGCGGGACGGAGCCATTGTTACAAGTCAGCGCTGTGCTCCCTTTGGTGCCTCTGGTAGCAGAAAAAAAACGGACCTGGTGATGGTTCAATTACGTGATACGGATACGGCTCTACTCATATCAAGTACCCACTATCCTTTTGCAAAAAAAGACAACATTAGTACGTTCATTCGTCACTTGTAGGATATCCTCAAACATGTCCATTGTCATTAGAAAGCAAGCGATGCAATAGCTACTGGTAGCACGCTTGAAAGCGTCACCCTACTCCATCTCAAAGAGCATGTCCGTACTTGGCAAGCGTCGGCTTCAACTCCGAGTTGTCAGTAAGGACCTTCGCCTCGGCCTCAGCCAGACGTTTCTGCTGAGCGACCTTCTTCTTGTAAAAGGCGTCCGACTTGACAATGCGCTTGGCTTCGAGACGCTTGACCAGCTCAGCGTGACGCCAGCCAACTTCCGAGGCGAGGTTGCCCAAGACCGTGTAGCGGCGGTTTGCCTTCAGACGCAGCACACGCAGGGCAGCTGGGATGACCATACGCTTCTGCTTGTCGTACGGAGACGGGATACCGTCAAACACCTACAGTCCGGTCCATCCATCAACTTCAACATCAGTACACCGCAGCCAGTCAATCAGGTAGCCACGTTCAAGAGTCTTCTTACCTTCAGGCGTTGCAGAGCAGCAGCACCACGGGCCGTCTTGTGGGGCAGCATACCACGGATCGTACGCCAGAGCATACGAGACAGTGCCCGGTAGTGGACCGGACCCTTCTTCGGGTTCGTGGCCGTTCGCTTGTTCAAGAACTGCAAGAACTTGACTTTGTTGCGCACGTCTGTTGTATACGCAGAAGCAAGAGCAGATCACATGAGGAATCCGTTCTTGACTCCACCCACACTCACAAACAGACGGCATGACCACCACTGCATCTCTACACGAGCGTCCGAAGACGTCGTGTAGCTCAACAGGGAGTCTGCACGCAGCGACTTTTGCATGTTTAAGGAGGTTGCACCAACGGCATTTCGTCCATGTGACTCTCCCTCGCACTTCTTCAGCTTTCACCTTCGCATTCACTTGCTGAACAAGGTACTCAACCCAGTGCTAAGGTCTTTTCTCCCTCACCCCACAGCATTACAGCAGTAACACAAGGGAACGTCTAGACGTAGAAGTCAATGAGAAAGCAAAAACTGATCGAGTGGCGAGCTCACAGAGTCCACATCAATGGTTGACCAGTACTGAAAAGGTAATCAACTATACTCCATTGACCGCACTCCTTGTCACACCCAAATCGTCTCTACGGAAGCGACAGACGCTGCTTCCAGCGGCACGCAGTGATGATGTCATGCGTCGATGCAGTGAATACAGTCCTAGTACTACTGAGGAAGTGCCGTGTGGACCAATACAGGAGATCGATCGATCAACATTCACATAGACGTACGCGAGCCGGAGATCTCGAGCTGCTCACAGCGCACAGCCACGACGTGCTGGCCCTGCAGAAGTTCCTTGGCGATCAGTGAGGCGAGACGGCCGACCAAGTGGCCTCGGCAGTCGACGACGATCGGTTTCTCGAACACCATATTGACTACAAGTGAGAGAGAGAGAGAGCGAGGGGGAAGCAGAAAGAGGAAGTGCGATGGCGGTCCATCACTACTGAAGAGCTCCGGTCGCGAAGAGCTCCGCACCACCCGCTCATTCTGACCAATCGCGGACGCGAAGCGATTTACAACAAATCAGAACGGACCAAAAGGGTGGTTTTGCGACAATGGACGCGTTGGGGAGTATACACCGTTCGGTATACACATCGATGAATTCTCTTGTCATATGTATTCCGAGAACGTTCTGAACACGCAGTTATGATTGATGACGAAGAGCTCCCGCGCCACCCGCTACGGCTCGTCCCCGTACGTATCCCATAGCGTGGCTTCTTACTACCGATTCTACTTCTGACTCCATGATTGGACTGTCATATGGGGGATCGTCATGTATGCTTTCGTGGTAGTGGGACAGCAGTACGATGGACGATGGTAAAGTCTTGACTGACCCCGAAGGCGTGGCGATGGCAACAGCGTTTATGAAAAAGTCACGGGAAAAGTGGGAGGCGGGGAAGTCGCTTCGGTCTGCGCCAGTACTGGACGATCTCGAGCGAGTGGCACGGGAGATCAAGGAGAAGGCCAGCTTGTCAGGTGGCTCGGACAGCTTCAGCAGTTTTATTGGCTCCGACTCAGAGTCGCAGACGGCATTTCGAATACGTTCCCAGCAGTCGTGGCGCAAACAGCGCCAGTCGTTGATGGATGAAGCTGCAAAAATAGGCGGAGCAGAAGGGTTCATGCAAGCAGAGATTGACGGTATGGAATCGAGTCTGGCAGAAAAGTTGCTGCAGAGAGGCTACGGATTGGACTCTAGTCCGACTAAAGAGAGCGTAGGGAACTGGAGTGACCTAGTAGCAGCTCGAATGACGATAAAAGCGACGGAATTGTGCTGCCTCAAGCGTCTCATGATGCGTTCAGAGATCGGTTGGTGGAGTTTTACACCAAGTACAACCCCGACAAGTTAACTAGCATCGATCGGACGCTCGAAACGTATCGTGGTCGTGAAGACGAGCTGTTTCGGAAACTAGCAAGTCGATATGTGGATGGCGCTAGCTTGAGTCTGCAAGAACGCAAGAAGGGCTGCATCACGAAGGACAGCGATCCCAGTGTTTACATGGACATCTCGATAGCTGGAGTTCGCGCCGGCAGAATCGTCATGCGTCTACTAAAGGACGAAACTCCGCTTGCTTCGGAGAACTTTCGCTGTTTGTGCACAGGGGAAAAGGTACGAGACGAGCATGTTGCGGTCCTTGACAGAGATTTGATGTGTATCGATGGTATAATGTAGGGTGGAATTCTTAGTTTTAAAGGCTGCAAGTTTCACCGCATCATCAAGAACTTTGTGGTCCAAGGTGGAGGTATGTGCTGCTATCACGTGCAGAGTAATCATGTGGGGTATGGTACAGCGTTCATAGCTCTGGTGATTGCACACAGACTTCACAACAGGTGACGGTACTGGCGGCCAAAGTATCTACCGCGGTACTCCGCACGGGGATCTTTGGGGAAACTTTAAGGATGAACGGTTCCTACCTCACGACGACGTCGGGCTGCTGTCAATGGCCAATGCAGGCAAGAACACAAACGGCTCGCAGGTACGCATTCGGCTTGCAACAGTATTACTGGCTACTAAGCTGATCATCATCAGATGCGGTTCTTCTGACTTTGCTCTCACTCTTTCCGTTCTCTTCTTTCTGGATCCTGCCTAGTTCTTCATTACTACAAGAGCAGGTCTGAAGAATCTGGATGGCGAGCATGTGGTCTTTGGCGAGGTCATTCATGGGCTAGATGTCGTAGACGCGATGCAGAACGTGAAGGTGAGCCCGAGCAACAGCTGCCCTCTCTCCGAAAACGAAGTTGCAGTGATCGATTGCGGAGAACTCTAGTCCAGCGTCATGCACCGAACTCGTGTCGTGCGTAGTAGCACACACCCAGCAAACGAATGGACCAGCAGCTCGCTTGCGCCACACGAGATTGTGTGCTGTATCATACTATGAACCGAATGCGGCTGACGACGTTGCTACGTGCAAATAAATGCCACAAGTTCCATCATTCGAGACTCGTGGACACCGACCCCTCCAGCTCTTCGAAACCAGACGCAGTGACACAATATTGTCCAGTCGAGTTTGCGCATTCCAGGAGTCGACTGCACTTACCGCAGCATGTCGCGTAAAAAAAGGCCATTCACCGAGCTCAGTGTCGATGGATCGTCGTGACACGCACTTGTCAGAAACGCGGTTTCGTCTTTTCCTCCAATCACCGCGTGGATCGCCACGGGAACCGACCTCTCGACCGACCCATCGACCTCTGGTCCAGTCACTTGCAAACGCGCCCCATGCTCCGCCTCGCGACCTCCTCGAGGCCCTTGTCGCCATCAGTACCGTCTCCGCTGCGCCCGACTCTTCTGCAATGCCGCGCACTCCTCTCCACTAGCTCCAGTGACGATACCGCTGGCTTCAAGGCCGCCGACGGGCAGCGCTTGAATCGCTACAGCGCAGTGATTACGCAATCGAAAGCACGAGGCGCGTCGCAGGCCATGCTCTATGCCACGGGCCTGACTGAAGCGGACATGGACAGGCCGCAAGTCGGTATTGCGTCCATGTGGTGGGAGGGGAATCCGTGTAATATGCACCTATTGGACCTCGCCCGTGACGTCAAGAAGGGCGTGACCGCTGCTGACCTCGTCGGTCTGTGCTTCAATACAATCGGGGTTAGTGACGGGATCAGCATGGGCACAGACGGGATGAGCTACAGTCTCCAGTCGCGGGAGCTAATTGCTGACTCAATTGAAACCGTCATGGGCGGACAGTGGTACGATGGAAACATCTGTATTCCAGGATGTGACAAAAACATGCCTGGCTGCGTCATTGCTATGGCTCGCGTGAACCGCCCGTCGCTCATGGTTTACGGGGGCACGATCCGTGCTGGCTGTAGCTAGAAAGGCGAGCCTCTTGATGTGGTCTCGGCCTTTCAAGCGTATGGAGAGTACCTGGCAGGACGAATCACGGAAGATGAACGTCATGATATTATTCGTCATGCTTGTCCGGGTGCAGGGGCCTGTGGCGGCATGTACACGGCCAATACGATGGCTACAGCAATTGAGACCTTGGGTCTGAGTCTACCGTTCTCATCGAGCTTCCCAGCTGATTCGATGGAAAAGAAACACGAGTGTCTGAGTGCTGGTCAAGCCATGAAAGTGCTGTTGGAAAAAGATATTAAACCGCTGGATATTTTGAGCCGCAGGGCCTTTGAAAATGCGATTACAGTGACCATGGCCTTAGGTGGTTCGACAAACGCGGTGCTGCACTTGATTGCAATTGCTCGGGCGGCCAAGATTCCGCTGACGATTGACGATTTTGAAGACATTAGTGAACGCGTGCCGTTTTTAGCTGATTTGAAACCTAGCGGCAAGTATGTCATGGAGGACATTCATCGTGTTGGCGGTACGCCTGCTGTACTAAAGTACCTGATGAAGCAGGGGTTGATCGATGGTGATTGTTTGACTGTGACGGGCAAAACGTTGGGCGAAAATCTCGCCGAAGTGGCGGATCTTTCAGATAACCACAAGATTATCCACCCTGTCGATCGTCCGCTGAAGTCTAGTGGCCACCTGCGTATTTTGCGCGGTGACCTGGCACCGGAGGGTTCGGTGGCTAAGATTACCGGCAAGGAGGGCCTTGTTTTTACAGGCACAGCGAAGGTGTATGACTGCGAAGAGGACATGATGGTTGGCTTGGAGAATAAAGAGATCACGAAAGGCAGCGTCGTTATCATTCGATACGAAGGTCCGAAGGGAGGACCTGGCATGCCTGAGATGCGTACGTTTATTTTCATTCGGTGTCAATGCTGAAGTCGAATTGCTCTGACATGGTGTGCTTTGTTTTGTACGTCTAGTCGCGCCTACCTCGGCAATCATGGGTGCTGGTCTGGGCAAGGATGTTGCCATGCTTACGGACGGCCGCTTCTCAGGCGGCTCACACGGTTTTATCATTGGCCACATTACCCCTGAGGCCCAGGTTGGTGGCCCGATTGCGCTCGTGAAGAACGGCGACAAGATCATGGTCGACGCTGAGAAGAACCGCATCGATTTCATTGACGTGTCCGCTGAAGTGCTAGCACAGCGCAAGAAGAAATGGGTAGCTCCTCCGCTTAAAGCCACTCGTGGTACGCTGTACAAGTTTATCAAGAATGTAAAGTCTGCTTCGGAAGGCTGTGTTACGGATGAATAAAGGACCTGTTGTACCCGAAGTATTGTGGAGAGTGGAAGACACTTGCTTGAAGTTGTTTGGTCCGTGAAGCTAGCACCACAGTTTATGCAAAATGCTCGTCCGGCTTGCTCGTGTGGCATTGGAAGCTTTAACAACAGTGTACTTGCATTAAGGTACCGAACGTCTCCGATTCAGCAGTTGATCCGATGTCGTCGCCCGTCGTGGCTTCTGTCACCGATGTTTAGTTGTTGTGGCGAGGTGAGCAATCATAATCAGTTTACTGCACGCATTATACTCAGATGAGCAGAACAGCGGATATCGTGGACTGCCGAGACAGGAGCCGACGGCTGGTTGGGTGCTGGATGTGATGGCAACCTCAAGCGCAGGGCAAGTCCTGAAATATTGGCTACTTATGGTCACATTTGGTTCAGATCAATGGTGTCTCTGAGTGAGATCGCTCTGAATATTCATGAGGGCATAACAAGACATGCGGCGAGTTCCAGCAACGTGGCCATGTTCATTTCGCACGTTTAAAAGAAAGAACTTAATCGACTTTGGCATGGTGAGGAAAGGCCGTCCGCCTTGAGAGTCTGGAGATAAACTCATTGGCGCTTTGCAAACAATCATCAATTCGGTTTCGTGTTGACCCGGAGAACTAGCGAACTGTCACAGATAGTGAAGTCGATCAAAGTATTGATGACGTGTGTTGCCACGAAGAAGCCCTTGCTGAGCTCAATAAACTAACATCGAACAGCCATAACTACCGAATCACAAGTTGATCTGATCGTTCGATGCGTAGCCAAGATGTGACCGTAATTTTAGAGAATCGCTAAATTCACCACACCACAGACTTGTAATTACATCCCTAGCAATAGCGGTACACCATGCTCTCGATCTTTTTTACCAATACACACGTACACCAGCAATGGGAATATACACCTATCTCTGGAAAATTGAGCACGAGATCTGCCCGGGAAACACCTAGCCATCACAACAAAGCCAGGCACGCATCGGCCTTCTAGCAGTACCTTTACTAAAATGTTTCGTAAATCTGTTGAATCCTGCTCCACTACAGGTGCGCATTCTCTAGCCTGCGCCAATCGCTCTGTATTCAGCAACCTGGCGTCGTACAAGTAGGGATGCACATTTGAGCTCCGTACAGGTACCCGGGTTTAATCTGAAGGTACCGCTTGAGTGATGCACGTGCACCTTTTCTCGAAGAAATCTACCTTAATAAGGATATAAGTAGCTAATTGTCCAAGCAGCAATATATATTTAGCCTTGTGGAGAAGCCACGTCTGGTCACAAACCAGAGCAGGAACATCAGAAAAATTGAAGAAAGAGTTCATCCTTAAGCAGGATATATTCTGACGTCTTTCGGAAATGCCAAAACACACTCCGTAATTTTTAATACGCCCTGCTTCATCTGTCTTCGCTAAGGTGTTGTAGCATTCGTCAGAGCATTCATTCTGGATATGCCAGAGACATAACAAATGTCGTGCTGCTATGAAATCTGCGCAATTACAGTAGAGAGATGCATCTGCGTCAGTGATAACAGGTTTGGGCAGTTAGTGGTCCAAAACTTACCACCCAAATTCACTCGATACCAAGAGGTACTCTAAAATTAATGGGTTCCGTCCCGCGCGGGATGGGATATTACGCTGGACGCTGCGGGACAAGATCATGGGGAACGTTTACCATAAAAACTTTTTGAAACGACCAGATCTACATACACGAGAGCACCTCTATATGTGCCGAGACAGTACTAAGAATGAAAACAATATGGAACTGTAAAATAAATATCAGTGTGATCAACGATTACCTGCCACGACGAGTGTATAATCTGAATGCTATTTTACTAGATCGTAATCGGTGCCGCTGATGGCATACTTATGCAAACAGGGCTCTTCTTAAACGTGGTAGCAACGGAATTGCAACGATTGTCACATGCATCAATATCGACGCAGTTGATCTCCATTGAGAATCGACGTCTTGTAGCAAGGTCTTGGCGAAATTTGAGTGATCCAATCAATCGAAAGCGATCCCGACGTTTGGTGAAATGTAAGTCTCTTGATAAGGCTTTAAGTAATCGAATACCCTACCAAGATAAACCCATGCCACCGAATTTAAGGTCTAAAGTCTTCAATAGTTTAAACATATTCATCGACCGTCGATTGGGCAACCAAATCATCTTTACAAGCATCTCCAAGTGCATTGAAGCATGCCTTGGCAGAAAGATCGACTATCGTCAATAAGTAATGAACATGACAATGTATATATTTGTACCTGGCTAATTTGATCCCTGATAGAAATGATATCCTTTCATATGTGATTTGTTGATCCACACTCCCTTTTCCAGACGAACGTATGGAGCAAACATATTGAACGGTAAATTATTACTTGACTAACAGTGTTCCAAAAATCAGGTAATATTTCAGGATCGAAATCTTGCTCTGTCTCAAAGAAATGGCGGACTAAGTTGCTCAGCCTATCAGTAGCTTGAGAAGAAGTGTCAGATCTTAGTGAAAGGCGCCTTAAGTAGTGGTGCGTCGACTACTGCTGGCTTATGTGCGACTGGATAGCCAATCGATTGTGCACATGGTGGATGCTGGCATCGTGACATTATGCCGCCTGTGTGGGTTTATCACAGAAACCGACGTAGCATTGCGATGATTTTCCACCAGACTCTTGTCTGTGGGAATACAGTGAAGCCGTAGATACTGCTTCAAGCTTCAATGACTTCGATGCTGACGAGCGCGAGCATGTAGTAACTGATTTGATCCAGCCGTCGTTCTCAATTTCAAGCTATGATGAAGGTGATCTGGTAACCTTTATTGAAGACAGGAAAGTAGCCTGTCAAATCTCGGCCACAGTGAAGAAGACTTGGCTTAATAACACTAAATTTGTTGTGTGCTTTGGTCTCTTGTAGTTGATAAAAATATACTTGGAAATGTCAGCACCAGCGCGGAAAGAGAACACTGTCGAAAGTATTGTCACATTTCTGAACCACAAAAACTTTGCCGTATGTGCTCTTACGATGGCACCGACGGCTCACTATTCTTACGAAACAGGTTCCTTCTCTTTCTTCGCTTGAAACTGGTGTAGTAGGTCTATTTACAGTGTGCAGATGTTCAGACGAATTGATTGGACTGCAGTGTGTCTCTATGTGACATGTATTTTCATCTTCGTGTGAATTGGTGAAATACAATCAGAACATATTGTCAGCGCATTCATACTGCCTTCTTGGCCAATGAGGGGTGCTAGACAGAATGGTGTAGTTTCTTCACTCTTGCCTTCAAGAGTATAATTCATAACTCTGAAAATTAAACGGTTTGTACATGGTACTGGATAATTATTTTTGACAAGTAGCTCTAAACTTCGTCACAACGGCAACTAATGTCAGAAGCATGTTTTGCTTTCGTTTATATGCGTACGGCATTGTCGGGTGGTACACCGGCTATGAGAAAGCAAACAAATTGTACACTTGATCAAGATTAAAACTGAGCGTTTACACTAAAAGCGGTAACTGTACCTTCACGTATAACAGCACGAGTAAAGTAATGAAGGTTCGAAATACATTATGATAAGGAATTCATTAGTCAAAATGGTATTTATTACCGGTATCGCTTCAGTGCCTCCACTGTAGTCGCTACGGGCTGCTGCAACCGGCCCGTACGGTGGTATATAAACTCTTGCTGCCGAGTAAATTATTTCCAGAGAGTACTTGTGCTTCTAAATTTTATTGCTATCATGTGTCTAGTAGTACAGATCAACAACCCGAATGCAAATTCTTTTACAATTCCAATATAGACTGCAAAAACGCGCTTGTTTGAGTGTATTATCTTCGAGTATTGACACTTGTAGTTCTGCCATGGCCAATGAAGTTTGCTCAGCCGAATTCTGATTAAAAAGGGGCCACTACTTTACTTGGTCGGTATAAACATGTCTTTTAATCATTGCGACAATTAAAATCTTGACAAATTTTGGCTTGCACGCAACGCACTACTAGTGTTTTACAGCTGTGTTTCCTCTTCAGGCCAACAAGACTGTTCGAGTATCCTTCGTAATATTTTAGGTAGCACAATGTGAAAGCTTAAAGCCTATATATTCAGGTGATTGACAAGATGCACCATGTAGGATAAATGACAGAAGACGATATATCAAACACATTTAATTCAAACTTAACCCACTGCTGACCGACGCCTCAGGGGATATATGCTAGTACCCAGGCAAAACTAGCTTAAGAGTGAAATGCAATCAAAAGGTGTGTAAATTCACTTCACCACAAGTGATCTTGTTGACCTAATTCGATTACTGGCGAACCAAGAGTTAATGTGACTTCAATGGGAGACCGATACTACTCCAATGCTAGGATAGGTTTTGAGTTGCCTTTGTGGAGTCTCAAAGGTATCACGTTTGTAATGTGGTATTCCTAATTTCATTGTTATTGCATCGTCAGAGCAAAAAAGTAGCTTCAAATCGGCATTTAGTAATATCATTTTCCTCCTCTAATTTTATACCTTTGCGTAGACGCTGCTGTATTTACGGAGGTATCTTATCAAATGGATTTAAGATATGGATGGTCACCTGTCATGTATACATTACAGTTCCTATCGCGGATAAATTATCTTCTTTGCCGATCGCTGGATTCGCACTAAAGACATCTTCATTCGCGGAGCCAGGCTCTACAGGATCATCTCCATCGCTATTAGATTGAGCTGTTAATGAGTATGCGGCATCCCCATATACAATCAGTCCATTTCAGTTTTGAGTGCGTCCACCTCTGTGTCAATCTCATCTGAAGAACAACTGAATCTGTTCACATCTATAGAGTCGCGGATGCGTAGGTGCTTCATATGTACTGATGTTTAGGTGCTCTTCGGTGGTGCGCCGTGACGGGCGATCTGTGAGTAGTATCACGTCCAAGTACAACTTCGGTGCGCCAGAATTAGAAAGTAATAACCCGCTTGGAATCTTTCGTCATCACGATTTTATTCACCTCATATCTGTGAGATGATCCA